TCTTACGTACACCAAAGCATGCTCTTTTCGTTAGGTTTTTTTTTTATTCCTTTGCTAATAATTTCAAAATCTGAAAAATTTCTATTATGCACTATACCAATCTAATTGAAACATATATCTCTGATTTCGTTATTCTCCATATGAGATATTATATATACGACTGAACATGCGAGTTAATATAGATAGAAATCTTATTTAGGTTGGCGTTATACCAAAATTTTGAAATTGATTTAGTTTTAACTTACAAACTTTTGATGAATGAAAAGGGGGAGGATTGAGATCTAACAAAAATTAAGTAAAACCAGTTTTGTACCAGTCCCAAGTCAAGAATGTCGTCAATGATTGTTAATGACATACCTTATTGTTGTTTTTTGTGGGAAAATTTGATGGCCCAGATCTTTGATATTAGAAGTTTCTGTTTAAATTATTCACATATTAAATAGAGCTTGACACATTATATATATATATAGACACCTGTCTATTCAAACTCCGAAACAGTGGTAACGTCCTCCTTGCACATGTTGCATTGCTACGTTGACTTTAGTTTAGCAAAGCAAGGTCACCGCTGTTTCGGAGTTTGCTGTGTGCTGCCTTTATGTGTCATTTAGTTATTTGTGTCATTGTGTTGCTTTATAGTCTCTTATAACTCTTTTTATAGTGGCTCTTGTTTTATATGTGAATTTATAATCTGTAGTGTTTTGTAAGAAGTGAGAGACTTAAATAAAATATTGTCTTGTCTTGCTTTATCATTGACATCAACCTCGCATTATCAATTATTTATATTGATAAAACAAATGTCACGCCTGACGAGCTGACCCCCTAATGAAATTAGGTTTTTGTTTTTGTGTATGCGTGTTGTGGTTTAAAGTTTAAATACTTTATATTCAATTAAGCAACGAATTAGACTATTAGTTCTGACTAATTAAGTAAATGAACAGCCGTTAGAAATTCAACAAAAGGCGAGTTACCTACGACAACGCTAAAACAAAACAAAAAACAATAACACATACGTATAATTGTTTATGAAATAATATCAATTGAAAGAATGGTTTATGTAACTAAAAACATAGTGTATTCAAGTATTTTATTACAAGACTATGCCCCAGTAAAAATTGGAACCCACGCTTAAACTTTAAACCAAAATACCAGCATATTTAATGTTGACTGTGTAAAAACTCTTACAAACAAATCTATTTTTTTTTGCATCACTCTCTCGAGTGGAGAAATACCGTAACACACTTGATGCAGTGATGGAATCTATATGTCTAACCCCTTAAACGACAATTCCGTCCTCTTTTTCTCGTTTAAATAACTATGATATTACCAAATGTGACCTATCACCGGATGTTTACTTGCCATGATCAACACGACGGGTGCCACATGTTCAGCAGAAACTACTTACCTTTTTGAAGCACCAGTTTTCATCTCTGTGATATGGCGAGGATTGTGTGGTTTAAACGGTAAACCGTAGTTTTCTGTGTAGTGTTTTATTTGTCTGTCTGTCCTTTTTTAATTAGGCCATTTTTTTGTTTGGCGCATTTTGAAATCTAGTTTTACAATTGCCCATTGGAATCTCCTTCCCTTCCCAAGAAAAATGAAGGTACCATTTTAAATCAATCATTAGTTAAATTAATATACCAGAACTTTGAAGGTACCCAAGAAACAGATTGAATCAGAAAATCAAAATAATCGAAGAACATGTAAAATAATATGTAGAAAGAAAGAAAGAAAATGAAAGAAGACAATCAAGCAAAGATTCACAATACAGTGCAAACATTCTCAAGATTGTGCAACCCAGGTGTCCAGAATGCGTTTTACTGATCAGCTTCGGTCAAACTTGTATAGTTTATCCGTCACAGGTGACAGAACTTGCAATTCGTCAAACTCGGAAGGACATATATACGCCCCTTCTTACTCTGAGTAAGAGGACGATTGATTGATTGTTGGTTGCTTAACGTCCAGTGGCAAATATTTCATGCATGTTCAGGACGAGAACAAATTAACAATAAATACAATAGGAAGGTCCTGTAATAAAGGTCATCCGGGATGAAGGTCGTGGAAATTTGGAGTGCCACTGGAAAATGAGGGTATATTGGATAGGGACAGGAATCTAGTCTTGCAACAGGTCACCTACGGACCCCTCAAAGAGTTGTTACAAGGGTTCTTAACGTGCAAAGAGCGTGGCACTCACTTTACATATACGAGGCGTCGGATTTAACGTCCACGATATGACCGGACGTGGCTGCAAACTTGCATATCCCGCACAGCCAAACGGACGCCCACTTTTGCGAGGGTTGTACTGCCGGTCGGAGGAAGACCAATGGTGACCATTTTTGTTCCCAAGTCACCCTTGGGACCGATAGTAAGAGGACGATCATTCTATATATATTGTTGTGAAGGGGAGGAGTTTGGAAATGAATATTCTGGTCTGGAAACAACCGAAACAAGATCAAAACCGGGTCTGGACATGCGCCTCTGCATGCAAATGTGAAAATTGCCTTCTCGCTACAACTAAACATCAACAAGCCGCAGACCAAATATAGACCAAATGTTAAAATCTTTCCCTTCAAAAGGAGCCAAGAACAGTTTGACGAAAATTGTCTTTGTACATTGAGTGTTGTAAATTTCAAACTATCGGCAAAAAGGAAGCGGCTACATGACAGATGTAAAAATTACTTACTGGCCGCTACAACTCAACATTATCAAGTTGCAGACCAAATATTAACTCATTCCCTTCCATAGGAGCCGAGTAAACTTTGACGAAATTTTTTCTTGTGCAATTAGTGTCGTAAAAATTCAAACTATCGGCAAACAGGAACTTGGATACATGGCAGATGTAAAAATTGCTTACTTGTTACAAATCAACCATATAAAACTGAAGACCAAATATTAAATTATTATCTTTCATAGAATCCTGGAAAAAATTATTTCGGACAGTCGGACGAACGGACAGACGGAGTCAAGTGGTTAATAGATAACTATCCACCAGAGTCCAAATAATGTGGATGTAAGCAACTATATGTCACTGTACGGCCTTAACAATGAGCAAAATACATACCGTTATAGTCAGCTATCGACATGACATAAAACGATGTGAAACGATTCAAACGAGAAAACCAAGCGACCGGAGTTGACAGAATAATTAACAACAAACGAAAACTGTTATCACAGACAACAACCATCGACATTCAATGAATTACAGGCCCCTGACTTTGGAACAGGCATCTTAATAATATTGCTTTGTTAAATATGTTTGTGGGGTTCACCCCTTCCTTAACCTGGAACAGTGGTGTAACCACACAACATAAGAACAAACTATACAAATTACTTGGAAATGACTGGACTTATCTGATCGGCACGACGCACAAAAGTAAAACAAAAAACAAAAAAGAAAAGTAACTTGCATAGAGATAAAAGCCACAAAATACCGATCAAAGAGTCCTTGCAGTTTCTGAAAGGTAGTTCAAAATAATATAAAAACAAGAAGATGTGGTATGATTGCCAATGAAACAACTATCCACCAGAGTTAAAATGAAGTGAATGTAAGCAATTATAGGCAACCGTACGGCCTTCGACAATGAGAAAACCCATACCGTATAGTCGGCTATAAAAGGCTCCGACATGAAAAATGTGAAACAATTCAAACGAGAAAATCAACGGCATAATTTATAACAAAACAAAGAAAAAACAAATACGACAGACATGAACCAACGACAACTACTGTACTACAGGCTCCTAACCAAGGAGAGGCACATAAAGAATGTGACGGGGATAAAACTGCTTGAGGGCGCCCAACCCTCCCCTACACAGGAACAGTGGTGTAACAGCACAACATAAAAAGGAACTGTAAAAATCAGTCGCAATTGGCTTAGATCAAAAGATCGGTACGAGGCACAAACCATTAACATAAAAACAATAGACAGAACGCACCGAAATGAGAGTACTTGCAGTTACTGAAAGCTAGTTCAAAGCCAATTACAACTAATTATTGAACATATTTGGAATCTAATGTTTATTGATTTTAGTGAAAAATGTCCAAACCAGTTACTCATGTTACTGTTAGATATGTTTTAAAGGGAAATGTGGGGTAAAACAATCAATCGACAAAAAATCCAAAACTTTAGAGATAGTAAAAAAGCAAGTCTCCATTTCAATATTGTCGTGCTGTTAATTATTTTGACTTCATCTACATCTAATTTTCTCCCCATTTTATGCACAAATTTTGTTAATGGACACATGCAATTTCCATAGATGGCAACTTGTGGACTATAAAAAGGATTTAATTTAATTTATTCAGATAAGAATATTTTTTCTCCAAAATTCATGTGCACGCCCGGGCGTTTTGATGTTAACGTAGCTACGCGCCTGCCAGTATTCGAAGTGCTGAAATGAAAATTCGTAAAGACATTCCACAGCAACGCATTATAAAAATGACATCTACTTTATATTCGTAACACCTGTTTCACTTAACCATGTTAACATTAAAATAAAAGCATTTTAACATCTGTCACATTTATTTGTTGAAGAAACTGCTAATAAGATGTATCATGTGTGTCATTGTTTATCTATCTACGTCAAGAATTCGCATCATACTACGGTAGGTATACATATTAATATTTTGAATCAGACAGACATAAATTAAGCCGCTCAAAGCATAAAACCCCCCAGAAAAAAAAATTATTTTATATGCTTTACAGCAATAAAGATTATAATAACTATTTAAATGTTTCATCAAAGCATAGATGTATAAACCCATTGGGTATTACACATCTATGATCAAAGCAATTGTTAAGCAATCATGTGTTAAGTCTAGGTGCACGTTCTGGTTGTTCGTCTGAATGTCCTAGTATCTGGACAACAAACCGATTGAGGTCAGCCGGTTTGATCGATAAATCATACAACTACATTGTTACAAAAATAGCATGACCCCAAGTCTGTGTTAAAGATTGAGTCTTTTATTAACCCCAATAAATTTGCATACTGGTTAATTAGCTTGAAGTTTTACTCCTCCCCTTTTCAAATCACGCCGTCTGTGCGTGGTGAAAAGTTCGTCTTAATCTGGTGCTAATATTTTTCATATTTAGCAGGTTATTAGCAAAACACGCTGCGTAAAGAATGGCTTCTATAAAGATGAACGGGAGAATTGTGTGTATCAAACCCTTACAATCAGTTATTGTGAGTATTGAATTTTTCTTTCTATATTTAATAAATTCGTAATAAATACATCGTTAATATAACTTGCAAATTCAAATTAGTTTATTGATTATATATATGAATTCATCTTTAGGACTATGTTATTTAAAATGCATTCAGTTTCTACTCATTATTTACTTGTGTGTTCAGTGTCGAACATTGAATTTCAACTTGATGTTTTCTTAATAATTTTATTTATAATAAACTTGAAAATATGAAAAATTGGATAATCATATACTAAGTATCTGGAAACATTTTTTTTCCAGATTTTTTAACACATGTTAAATCAGTGTGATCATTTTCTTAATGAAATATGTCAAATGTACATTTTGTACTACCCTTTTCCTCCGGTGTTGCTATTTCCTGAAACTTTATTTCCGAAAGCTTGAATTTTACATCGAAATTATTCTTTACAAATTGTATCTGGAGATCTGATTCATCAACAAACATGGCCACCGTTGCTAAAAATAAACATAGGGTGAAACACTGCTTTCGTTTTTGCTTGTGTGACAAAAACTAAAGTAAATCGGATTGAGGTAAAATGAGCCCGAATCGCCAATTTACCAATTGATTGTTAAAGAGAAGATAACTTCTTCCAAATAGCTTCGGATGGTTTGTTCCCATTTGATATGGTTCACATAGAAAACCTTGTATATCTTGTCCCTGTCAAGTTTGGTTCACATTTGCCAAAGAGTTTCAGACAAGAAAAGTATTTTAGCTATTTCAATCACCAGGCGCCCGTCGTCGTAAACTTTAAAAAGAAACTACTGGGCTAAATGTTACATAACTTTTTCTAAATGTTTTTTTGTGAATGTAGTTTACAAATTGTATCTGTTGATTTAATTCATGAACAAACATGGCTACCGTTGCTAAAATTAGAACATAGGGGGAAACACTGCTTTTGGTTTTGCTTATGGGACAAAAACTAAAGCAGTTAAAAAAAAATCAACATAATGATCAATGGGTCAAACACTATCTACGTCGAAATTTTCAAAAAATTCGGACAATCTGTTTTCGAGTTATTGTCGCTGAAATGCAAATTTTCTGCAAACTTCTCAGTTTTGTTTTGGTTATTATCTTGCAAATTGATATAGCTAGAGAGAAAATTCTCATAGTAAATAAGATTTACAAAAAGTCAACATGACCAAAATTGTCAAATGACCACTCACAGGAGTAATTTTCCTTGAATGATGATATTTACCCATTTTTCCATTTTTTCTCTCAGAAACTATATCAGATCAAGAGAAACCGCACGTTAATGAACCCTTATAACAACTCTCTTAGGTGTCCAATTTTCCAGTAGCAGTCCAAATTTCCCGCCCTTTATCCATGTCGACAACAACCACTTGTCTCTGAATTTTATTTTTACATATATACGTTTATATGTCATAGAAACAAGAGCCTGTGCGGTCGACCTGGACGAAGAACCGGAAATTTGGACTGCCACTTGCAAATGGGAGCATGTTGGCTAGAGAAAGAAATTTTGCCTTGCATCGGATGCTGCGAATTTATACATCCTGCACAGCAAAACGCTCTCAATCCGAACATGCGCGAACTATTTGCCACTGGACGTAAAGCAAACAACAATCAACCAATGAATCAATCAATTTAAAGCAATTGTTCATTACTAGTATTTAATTTAACAAGGGATCCACAATAATCCACATCCCTAAGCTTTCATTTAATCCCAAAATTACCCAAACAATTTTCATGTTTCAAAATTTACAGCTATGTGTAGAAACCTTTTTTATGCCTCCGCCACTAGGCGAAGATGCATTGAGGTTTACCCTTATCCATCCGTACGTTCCGAAATTGGTTTCTGTTCTCTAACTTTAGTTTGCCTCAACCTTAATTTTTATTTTTAGTTTGCTTATTTCCAACAAACACAGATCAAGTTTTGTTTGGCGTCATGTACTTTCACTTTTCTTGAGTTATGTCCCTTTATAAATGTAAAAACTGGCTAATTTTCCGCTTATACGCAATGCTTATTACCACATAACATAGATTATTTCAAATCTAAGTGGCGTCACTTCCACCGTTCTCGAGTTACCCCATTACTAATTGTTATTGAACATTGAGAGCGCTCAAACCCCCGAGCAATATCTAATGACAACATTCAGAAGTCTCAGAGAAAACAAACGTCAAAATGTTTGAATTAGTACATTGGCTCTTGCATATTTACAAGCGGGGGCATACGATACAGTCTGTTTTTATTCAAAATGTGTACTCTTTTCTGCATGCAGTCTTGACGTCAGACACTTGTCTCTGAAATTGCTTTTACCTACACCCCTTTGTGTGTTACATAAAGTAGATATAAGAAGATGTGGTATGAGTGCCAATGAGACAACTCTCTCAAAGTACGGCCTTCAACACGGAGCCTTGGTTCACACCGAACAGCAAGCTATAAAGGGCCCCAAAAATGACTAGTGTAAAACCATTCAAACAGGAAAACCAATGGTCTAATCTATATAAAAAAGTATATATAGGTAAAAACTAATGTTTTGAGGCAAGTGCTGGTTTTGACCCAGACTATGATTAGTGGGTCTTCACCTTCAGTCATATATACTTGTCTATTATATACTTATACGAAATCAATATATCGATTCCTCTGAAACTGCAGCGACATTTAATTGATTTTTTGTTCTTCTGAATGCTTTCCACACATATCTTGGACACTCGTGGCAGGCGAGAAAAAAATACTAAATCCCATGCAAATTATTGAAAATAAACAGAAATTCAGAATATTTAAGCAAAGTAAAGAATTTAATACAAAAATAATTTTAATATACCTGAAATATTCGCCACTGGACGTTAGGTTTAACAAAGAACAACCAATTCATCGTATTAATGTGTAAATATTTTTATAAGATTTACATGTATATGGTTGTAAAAACGTGTCCACATCTTATAATGACGATTTTCTATGGTCAAACAAAAAATAAATCCCATGGTGTCATACCTATTTCTATTCCATCTATGTAATGTTTTTTTACAATGAAAATTATCACTAGAAAACTTAGTGGAATATACTACAAGATTAATCTAAAAATTGACGTTTATTATAATCTGAATGAAATACAGTCCCTGTGTACCCGTTTGTCTTTGGACAAATTCCAACACAAGCATTGACTTAATTAAATAAATAAATACTGTTTATATGATTATCGATAATATGATCCCAGCAGATATATAAAAATAAGAAGATGTGGTATGATTGCCAATGAGACAACTCTCTACAAGAGACCAAATGACACAGACATTATCAACTATAGGTCACCGTACGGACTTCAAAAATGAGTAGAACCCATACCGCATAGTCAGCTATGTTCTCCTCTTGAGTTCACATGCACTTAATATTTGTCGACTCGAGGTGAGGGGGATGACACGCTATTGGGACAAAAGGGGTAAAAAAGTGGGGTGTGGGATATAGGGGGTGGAAATACGTCTTCTTGCGTAAACTATTATGTAACACTATCTAAAATACACCACGGTATATCAATTTCCTTGACACATATTTTGAACTGTAACAGTAACCTATAATGTAACAGATTTCTATAGACATGATAGAGGGATTTAATACTTTGACATATTTAAGCATTTGCTAAAATTGAACACAAAAGATCGTATCTATGAGGATCTGAATGAGGTTACAGAATAGAGAATAAATTGGAAAATGAAAGAAAAGAGAAAAATGGATCAAACAAATAAACAACAGAGAACAATGGAGTTCTAAAATATAACGAATAGAGAATAATGGGCAACAAACGTACAAGAATACGAGAAAGATGGCATAAATATTAAAAGACATAAATTAAGACCCCCCATCCCCCACCACGATCCAGACCCTTATCTATGTCTTGGTCTGATCTTGATATGAGTCAGAATACCCCTTTGTGTATTTATACAAATGAAGTCTTTTCATAAGTCAAATGATTACTTTGCCTCAACCAAATGATATGAAACTTATACCCAATGCGTATGAAACAAAAATGATTTAAGATTTATAATAAAATGTATTTGAACACCAGGGGTCCATTCTTTACAAATCCTTTCAAAAGACCCATTTGCATGAAATATGTTTTGCGTACACTTTGTCAGTTTTGAAGGCTTTATTCATACGTAACCTTGAAAAATACATGAAACTGTTTTAAGCTTAAAAAGTACTTTTCTACAATAATAAAAAATAAAGTTCAAAATAAAGGTTAAAGTTTTCAATATAAACAAAAACCAATTGATTTTTAAAACATGAAAATGTATCGTTACAAGGAAAAGTGTGGAAATTTTAAGTCAAAGTTTCCTGCAATATTTTATTTTATTGAAATACCATATAATGTAACAGTTTTCTATAGACATGATAGAGGGATTTAATACTTTGACATACTAGTATTTAAGCATTTGCTAAAATTGAACACAAAAGATCGTATCTATGAGGATCTGGATGAGGTTACAGAATAGAGAATAAATTGGAAAATGAAAGAAAAGAGAAAAATGGATCAAACAAATAAACAACAGAGAACAATGGAGTTCTAAAATATAACGAATAGAGAATAATGGGCAACAAACGTACAAGAATACGAGAAAGATGGCATAAATATTAAAAGACATAAATTAAGACCCCATCCCCCACCACGATCCAGACCCTTATCTATGTCTTGGTCTGATCTTGATATGAGTCAGAATACCCCTTTGTGTATTTATACAAATGAAGTCTTTTCATTAGTCAAATGATTACTTTGCCTCAACCAAATGATATGAAACTTATACCCAATGCGTATCAAACAAAAATGATTTAAGATTTATAATAAAATGTATTTGAACACCAGGGGTCCATTCTTTACAAATCCTTTCAAAAGACCCATTTGCATGAAATATGTTTTGCGTACACTTTGTCAGTTTTGAAGGCTTTATTCAAACGTAACCTTGAAAAATACATGAAACTGTTTTAAGCTTAAAAAGTACTTTTCTACAATAATAAAAAATAAAGGTTAAAGTTTTCAATATAAACAAAAACCAATTGATTTTAAAAAAATGAAAAATATATCGTTACAAGGAAAAGTGTGGAAATTTTAAGTCAAAGTTTCCTGCAATATTTTATTTTATTGAAATACCATATAATGTTTGCCGAATCGTTTTTAGTCTTGAACGAGAATCAATTAAACTTACACAATTTCTTTCATTTAACATGTTAAAACATTTATTTATGTAAAAATGAATTAGACCGCAACCTAACTTAACTAAAATAAATGGAGAATGATGATGCCCCGCTTGCATAAAACGTTATAAAGCGACATCACTCAAGAACGGTAAAAGTGACGCAACCCAAATTCGAACTTGATCGGCGTTTTGTGGTAATAAGCATTGTGTATAATTTTCATTACATTTGGTTGAGTCCAACTAAAGTAGGAGAACGGAGACTAATTTTGGTAACGAACGTATGGATGGACGGACAGACGTACATACTGACAAGGGTAACACTTAATGCCCCTTTCGCTGCGGCGGGGGCATACAAATCCCAAAAAGACAAATCTTGTCTAAATCACCGTTTCAGAATCTAAAAGACTATGAATAGTTTCATTGATCGTACACCAAAATGAAAATAATGTCATGTTATAAGTTAGATATTCAGTAGTTAGCCAATCACAAAGTTTTGATGCAATCTTTTGAAAATAATACCCATAATGCATCATATTCTGAAACGGCGAATTAAAAAAAAGTGTTGATACAATACATGAAGCTCTAGATCAACCAAGCTGTGAGTAAACTAAACAGAGTATATCAAAGATCTGACCATTCGGCGCACCTCGGCACATCTATCAAATCTTTTTAGGGTAGCGGAATCGGCCGAGGTTTGCCGATTGAGATCTGACATCATCTACTATTTTAATATGAACATATCTTTTATTTTTAAGAGAAATTGAATCTATTGATGTAAATAACCATAACAGTTTTCATAATAACTGTCGAAGAATTTCTTTTTCATTCGTTTCATTTATCACAAAGAAAATTACATGAAATTAATGTTTCTGTTTCAGAAATCATTAAGATATGCAACAACGACAAGTTTTTCAAGAACTGCAGACGCACGTGAGAAAAAAGTTGCGGTCATCGGAACTGGCGTATCTGGAATTTCTGCATTAAGAAATTTGACTTCGCCGTTTGGTAACATAACACCAGTTGCATTCGAGAGAAGTGCTTCTTTTGGTGGACACTGGTCATTTACCAGCAACAAAACACGTGATGAGTTTGGGTATCCGCCTTCATCTGCAATTTACTGCGGACTAAGGTAACAGACATTTTGTCAAGCTAGTTCCTTGCCTTGTGATTCCACATGCACATTTGGTTTAAATATTTGTTAAAACCTCAGGTCACACTGATATACCATTTGGGAATTTTTCTTTGTTTTATAATATCGGTAATATCATTTTGATAAAATTTTATTCGAATCTATTGACCATAATTAAAAAAAAAACATATTTTCCATAATAATAGACTACTTAGTATTATAATACATAATACTTTTATGTATATACATATGTATTGCTGCTATTTCTCTCTTGAATATCAATTCAATTCCAAATTATATAATAGAATAATACACATTTTTGTAGAGGTTATTGATGCATGTGTAAACTTAACCGATTAACTCAGAAACTGAATAAAGTTCGGACTGCATTATGAGTTCCCGAATTCCCTGTAAAATAAGGATTTTTTAAGAACCCAAATTGCTTTCAAATTACTTTAATCCTATATAGCCACGGTATCAAAATCATGAATTTCGCGTGGACCTAATAACCCCATCAAAAGGAAAAAAATCCTCCCAAAAAACAACAAAACAATCAAACTTAAAAAAAGGTAATTTTCCGTAGTAACAAAATAAAGACATGAAGAAGATCACGATCTTAATCAAAGTTACGTAAAAACTTGTTTCATATCCATTGAAATTTTTTCTTGTTTGGACAAGGGAATATTTTTAAAGTAAGGTTCCATTGATCCTGACATTGCCGATAAGATAAAATAAAATAACATTTATTTCCAATAGAGAATCTATTATGGGAAAAATCAGTACAATGATTAGCAAATTAAACATTTATAATATAGATAATACATAAATTGAGGGTATAATCTTTAATTGCAGTTCGTTTATCAATGTTAGTTTGTTTCTTGTAAACAAATATTTATTTGTGTTTCGTTTGTCAAGGCAACATATTGTGTGTTAAGTTCAAAAGAATGACATATTGTCCAGAATGTAGAACAGCCTATTTAAGTCAACTCTTTTCCGCGTATTTTACGGCATTTGCGAGGACGCCCTTAAAATTCTTTGTCCTTTTTTTTTAACAGGACCCGCTCTAATATGATTTTGAATGTTAAAAGGAAGTGTTCAAGTTGTTATTTATGTAAAAAAAAAATGCTATGCTATGACATTTAGAGTATGATTGCCTATAGTCTGAGCCTATAGTAGACAACTAGCAATAAAACAACCGTTAAGGACGACAAAGGTATATTTACTGTAACCGTTCGTCCTTCATAATTTTTCTAAGTCCATTGTACTTTTTCAAATTGCATACAAACACCACAGAAGAGGGTATGGATGGAGAGGGGGGGAAGTGTCCTTCAATTCTATATATTTTTGCTTATCTTCTCGATCTGTTCTTTATATTTTAGCACCCCATTTTTCCCTACTCTTTATTTTTGGGACTATTTTTTCTCTATCCTTTTTTTTTTTACCCTTTATTTTGCACTTTTTGCTCTTCTATATTCTGTAAACCCCATCAAAACCCTCATATAAAATGTATTGGTTTTTATTCAGTACTTATACACTTCTTCACACTGTTCACCTTTAGTTCTTTATGGGTCACAACGTATCGTAAATAGAACCGCCAAGAGTGATATATTTTACAATGTAAATCTAATAAATTAAGCTACAAGTACGATATAGGCACAGATCTAAAACATAAATCTACATATGCGATTAAAACTGTCATTTTCTTTTTAAAAAATGGGATAAAGTTATTTATATAAAAAACAATACATATTTTTCTTTTAAAGGGATGGAATAAGATTACGTTATTTATCTGCTTAAGACTGTTCTTGTTAAAGTACACATTTTTACATTGCACAAAATCTTAAAGTTTAAGTGAGCCTTTGCATTGGATTTTCTTTATTGTACGATTTCCGCTCCTTTTAATGATTTCTTAGCATGTGCAATTAGATTGAAACAGAGACATATAATGTTTATTTAATGAATATCTGAGTTTTTTTTATCTGTTTACTGAATACTGAATAAGTATTGTCATACATAAATGGGGTTAATATTTTCGACAAGAATATCGAAGCGACGGTTAGTGATATCAAAAGTAAGGGATACCAATGTGTATTCTGAAAATTCAAACACAGACAATTTCTTATATGAAACTTCTCCCAATCAGATTCAATAGTTCACAGAGTTAATTTTTGTATTAAACAAGCACAATATTAAACCTCGATCATTATAGGTTTCGAAAAGTACAATATCGGATTTGTAAAGATCTTTATAATGTTTAAGTTTAAGTACTTTATTGTCGATGTTTAATTGTTTGATAATGGTTTTGAACTTAAACGAACAAATGACCCTCTTGTCGGCTAACTACACAATGTCATGTACTTAGGTCACTTATGGGTCGAAATATGACCTTCATCCAATCTAACCTTCCTCGTAGGACCGTATATCCGTACTACAAATTACAATATGGATTTCTTCTCGAGCAAAGCTACGTTTTCTGATATTCATCCCGCCTGTCAATGCATGTTACTTAAGAAATGAATACTTCTTTTGTAATTTTATTGGGGCGTAAAAGTGTTGACCGAAGCACATTTTGTATGACGCCCGGAAGCGCTTCATTCTAAAAATGTGTGCACGATCAACACTTTTACACCCCAATAAAATTACAAAAAGAAGCAATCATTTCTTATAATTACATTTTTATGTTAATAAGACCAAGAAAAAAAAAAGTTTAATCAAGTTTTTCTTTAATTTATTTACCTGTGCACTTTTTTTGTGGAATAACGTGTCATCACGAATGTAACATTCATTTTTATATGAAGGTTAGTTTTGAATGACGCGCGATTGTTGTTAGCCAATAAAACTAACGGATTCTCGTGAAACATACATGTAATGTGTTCGAAAATACCATTAAACATTCATTTAAGAATTGAATGCTTCTTTTGTAAATTTATTGGTGTAAAAGCGTTGACCGAAGTACATTTTGTATGAAGCGCGGAAGCACTTCATTCTAAAAATGTGCGCACGGTCAACGCTTTTACTTAAGAATTGAATGCTTCTTTTTGTAAATTCATTGGGGTGTAAAAGCGTTGACCGAAGTACATTTTGTATGAAGCGCGGAAGCGCTTCATTCTTAAAATGTACGCACGGTCAACGCTTTTACAACCCTATGAAATTACTAAAAGAAGCATTCAATACTTATTACATTTTTTCGCTATGATCATGAAAAGACGATTACTATCAAGTTTTTCTTTTATTTACCTGTGCACTTTATTGTGGAAACGTGTGTCATCATGTATGTTTCAATTCATGCAATTCATTTTGAAATGAAGAATGACGCGAGATTGCTGTTAGCCAGTCAAAATAACGTATAATAATGAAACATACATGTTTAACCCCGCCGCATTTTTGCGCCTGTCCCAAGTCAGGAGCCTCTGGCCTTTGTTAGTCTTGTATCATTTTTAATTTTAGTTTCTTGTGTATAATTTGGAGTTTAGTATGACGTCCATTACCACTGAACTAGTATACATATTTGTTTAGGGGCCAGCTGAAGGACGCCTCCGGGTGCGGGAGTTTCTCGCTGCATTGAAGACCCATTGGTGGCCGTCTGCTCTATGGTCGGGTTGTTGTCTCTTTGACACATTCCCCATTTCCATTCTCAATTTTATATAATGTAATTATAACCCTATACATGTAAAATTACTAAAAGAAGCATTCAATACTTATAATTATATTTTTTTACTAGGATCATGAAAACACGATTTCTATCAAGTTTTTCTTTTATTTACCTGTGTACTTTATTGTGGAAGCTCGTGTCATCATGAATGTTACATTTCAATTTGAAATGAAGGTTAATTTCAGAATGACGCGAGATTGCTGTTAGCCAATCAAAATAAGGTATTATAATGAAACATACATGTAGTTTAAATATTTTCAAATGTGTAGTCATTATAATGTTTTTGTATGCATGGCTAGTGGTTCTTACACCCGGCCCTCATACTCTGATTCCGCTCATGTTATTAATAATTCAAAATCAAGAAATCAATTATGCAAAAAAGCTTATTACAATGATCTTTCGTTTCAATTTTTGCTTGAAGTTCGTATGCCTCAAGCAGCAACAGCCAAAACCGGATCTGATTTTGGAAGTTTCGAAAGCAATTGTTTTTTGTATGAATAACAGTAAGAAAAATTAATCAGGGCAGAGATGTTGGTCGTGTAACTGGAAACATCACATTTTCCCATTCTCATATAACTGTTTGCAAACAGCATGTCATGGTATGCTGTTATTTTTTATGCCCCACTTAGGGGCATTATGTTTTTCGGTCTGTGCGTCCTTTCGTCCGTCTGTCCCGCTTCAGGTTAAAGTTTTTTGGTTAAATGTTTTGGTTAAAGTTTTTGGTTAAGGTAGTTTTTGATGAAGTTGAAGTCCAATCAACTTGAAACTTAGTACACATGTTCTCTATGATATGATCTTTCTTATTTTAATGCCAAATTAGAGTTTTGACCCCCAATTTCACGGTCCACTGAACATAGAAAATGATAGTCTGGGGCATCCGTGTACTATGGACACATTCTTTTTCGTCATTGTTCTTAAGCGCGATTTCATATTAGGCTTTTTATCGAATTATGCGAATCGTGTTTGGAGAGTGTCACTCTCTCTGTAAATTAAAGAACCACAACAACTCTTATAAGGGTCCGTAGGTGGCCTGTTGCGATGCTAAATTTCTGTCTCTAAACAACACGCCCTCTTTTTCAGTGGCAATTTTAACACATACAATAATTCGAGATCCAGAATCTAAAGAGTCATGGTTACTTTAATTGTTCGTACACCACAATGAAAATAACGTCATGCTGAACACAAGATTGCTCCTTCCATGACAAAATCTATGTTCATTTTCCAACATTAAAAAATTAGACTTGCATATATTACTATTTCTGCAGAGGACATTTACCGAAAGGGGCTTGACATGGTACAGCATGAGGTTATAATCTTTACAAATATTGACTTGTTTTACGAACCGCGTAATATCGCTTTTTCAGAATCTAATGCATTCTGGGTTATATTTTCTAAAGCGTACACAAAAACGTTGTGATTGGCTTAAACCGTTCGAAACAATGGATATTGAACAAATGACCTAACGTTATTTTCATTTTGGTGTGCGAACAATGAGGTTACCTATAATTCTTTAGATTCTGAAAAGGCGAATTGGAAAATAAGAAAGAAAAACCATTATTTTCATGATTGCATTTATTTTGATTTATCTTTTTAGAACAAATTTACCAAGAGAATTGATGTCTTTTCCGGGATTTGAACATGACGAAAATTTACCAACATTTCCGAAGCAAAGTGATATCTTCGAGTACCTGCAGAGATATGTAGATTATTGTGACCTTGAAAAATATATAAAGGTATTGTAATGAATTCGAACAAACATTCGGAATGTCTTAACACATATTCGTATGTCAGTCTTAACTATTCAAGGTTTTGGGGTACGTTTTTTATACTTTTGTTTTGTCTTTTCACCTTTTATCTTTTTATCCTTGGTACTGTTTTGTTATACGATTTCTGGTTTCCTTCTTAAAATTAGATTACATAAGAATCCTTATAGAGAGCGTTAACATATGTGATCATAATATTATAAAATTGAGAATGGAAATGGGGAATGTGTCAAAGAGACAACAACCCGACCATAGAGCAGACAACAGCCGTATACATGTAGATGTACGTCTAACCGCTTTTCAAAAAATCGACCATACTAGCTTCCGCTAATCTTCGCCTAGCCAAGGGTTACGATCCAAGATAAAATTTCGGATCCACGAGGTAATGATTTCCATTGGTCGCAGTTGTAACTGGCTGCATCCAATCAAAAAGCACCTTATAGATGATCACGTGTAAATGTAGAAATTGCCATGTGCTGATTGTGCAACAAGTCTTTACTCCCCAAAACGTAGAACGATATTTGGTGACAATTTTAAAGTTTTTAATCAATTAATTGAAGTTCCTGGGTATGTTTCTCGCGCAAATGTTGGAATGTCAACATATATTATTTTCAGTTCCTGCTTCACGAAATTTGTAAACATTAGACACAACCATTTAACACCTCCACACTGAAGAGAGTTCAAGTGCTGCCATTGGTCAGGAAGGACGTAGTCGGAATTGGCGTGACTTTTATCTACCGGTAGATGGCGCAGCATTGTATTCACAAATCACAAATGCTGACTTAATTTGCCAATGGTGGAGAGGTGGGTTTGGATCGTACACCTTGGCTAGCGAGATGGCTTTCGCTCACCCTGTCGACGAACTAGGTGTTGCTTCCTCAGTGTTTGTTTTACCTTGATTTTTATCATCTCAATCGATTTACGAGATTTGAAAATCGGTATAATTATATACTGTTGCCTTACCTTGCTACAGTAGTAGAATGTCGAGGATCTTTAGGTCATTTTCCAGTTTCATAAAAAAATCTTGAGAACTTTCTTTAAGAATTTAACTTAAATTTCCAATTCCTACAGGATATTTTGAGAGAAAAGTAGGAAAATGTCATGTGACTGTTGCCTAGCTGAATCACCGGACACCAGTTGGTCGAGATAAATAATACTTAAAAAAGCTTTGTAGAGTTTCCAGACAAATATTAGATATTCCAATGAGTACCAGACATTATTGTATGCCCCTGCTAGCAGATTTTTGGCATTCATATCAAGCAGAATAATGCTAAATCTTAATGGAAGTGAGAAAAAGATCCCACAAAACCCTGTAATTTCACCTTTAAACATTATATTAGTTATTCACGAATAATCTTTTTTTCCAGTCCCCTACACCCATGTTTAGTTAAAACAAGGTTTCAAGGGAAAAAGTTCTACTTTAATCAAGATGTTTTTTCTTGAAATCGCTGTTGATGAATAATTGAATACTAAGATGGAAAAAACGCTTTGATTCAAATTTTTCTATTGTAAACTTCCCATTTGTTAATTTTTTTTTGCCATCACTTGGCGTCCGTCATCCGTCCGGTGTAAACTATTTCAAAGATCTTCTCCTCTGAAACTACTAAACCAATTCCAACCAAACTAAAGCTGAATGATCCTTAGGGTATCTAAAATAAAGTTTGTGATTTGTTATCTGTTTCGTCAAAAACATGGCCGCCATGGCTAAAAATAGAACATAGGGTAAAATGCAGTTTTTGACTTATATCTCAAAAACTAAAGCATTTAGAGCAAATCAGACAAGAAATTAAAGTATTCATTAGGTCAAGTTCTACCTGCCCTGAAATTATCAGCCAAATTGGGTATCTGATTTTTAGGTTATTGCCCCTGAATTGATGATTTTAAGAAAATTTTGCAGTTTTCGGTTATCTTAAATATTATTATAGATAAAGATAAACTGTAAACAGCAAAAATGTTCAGCAAAGTAAGATCTACAAATAAAATTATATGACTAAATTGTCAAATGACCCCTTAAGGAGTTATTGCCCTTTTAAGACAATTTTTCACAATTTGTTCATCTAGATTGCTTACTTTAAAAAATCTTCTCCTTTGAAACTGCTGAATCAATTTCAACCAAACTTGGGCTGAATGAGTTTCAGAGTATCTAGTGTAAATTTTGTATTTTATTTCCTTGTATGTCAAGAAACATAGCCACTATGGCTAAAATGGAACATAGGGGTAAAATTCCTTTTTTTGCTTTTGAAGAAAATATGAGATATATGTTGTTATGATATGCAAGAGCTTGATTGCGCAATGACGATTTTATTGACAGAGGTTAGGCGCGAGTCAAAGATTTGAGGTTCGTTCGGGTGTTAGGATGATTCAATTGAAAGTATAGCATCGGATTAATGATTTACTTAGAATAGTATTGGACCTTTTGTTATATAAGGTCATATAAAATACACTGTTCATCCATAAAATACATGTTCTAATAATACATTTTGTTTTAGTTTAATACAATTGTAACTAATGCAGTTCCCAGGAGCCCGGGTGATGTCAAAACGAAATGGGAAGTGACGTATTGTGACGTCAGTGATCCCACTAAATCATCTACAGACGAGTTTGACGCAGTTATAATTTGTAATGGGTATGTTTCAAATCGGCAAAGTGCGGTCATAGTTTGTGTTGTGTCAATTTTACAAACGTGTCACGTGTTGGTTGGTTGTAAAGATTTTAGTGTATAAATATATTCCTTTTTTGTTTAACATGGGATTTTGTACGTTGTATTGTAAAAGGCACTGTCTGACGTATTTATTAAGAAGCACCTGCTGTCAATTTCCGAAAGACGTCATATATAGCTTTAGATTTAATTAAAAAGACGTATTGTCGTTAAACAATAAGACGAATAGACCTTTCATCATTGTTCTTATCATTTCAGAATTTTCCAGGACACTTTAATAATAATCACAAGATTTTTTAGCAGTTTTTAGTTTTAGAGAAGAATACACTCCACGAGGGTGTGGATGGGGGTTTACAGAATAGAGAATACTGGGCAAAAAATTAAAGAATAGAGATAAATGGCCCAAAAAATAAAGAATAGAGAATAATGAGGTGCTAAAATATAGAGAATAATGGGCAAAAACTATAAAGAATTGAGAAAAATGGCCTAAAAAATTAAGGAATACAGAAATGAAGGACCCCTTCCAGACCCTCCTCCATGCCACAGGTTGAAATTTATTAAAGTTTGTATTAATGATATAGGTAATGTGCCACTGTTACCGGGCAGTCTTGTGGTCAGTTGGAATGCAGCCCTTCTTTTCTTATTGTTGTATCCGCTTAGAAAGAATTTTATGTCTACAAGTAATTGACCCTAATACTATTTACCGTGTCTTATGCAAAACAAAAATTATATTTTTTGTCCCTGTTTTAGGTGTTCCAGTTGCCCCCTCTGAATCCGACCCTGTACAGTAACTCTGTTATAAATTGTTATTCTCCTTGAATGCTGTTCCTCTTCATGCAATCGTCTAAACTGGCATTTTGTCAATCTTGGAAGTCCTAAACTTATCAAGTGCTACAAGGAATTACGTCTGGTCTTAAATAGCAGTAGTTGTAATCCAAGTTTCCTGTTGCTATTTCGTAAATCGATAGTACTTTATTTTTTTTAACAGGAACTGTATTAACCAGACCCCAAAATTACTTGAAAAAAAATGCACTTAAGTTGTTTAAAATATATTTGCCCTTATTTTTTATATTGGTTGACAGCATCATTCTTACACCGGAAATCAATTCATTGGATTTCTTATCATTAAGCATTGATGAATATTTGTTGAATTATTTATCATTGTAATATTGATGTTTACTGATAGTTGATATAAAAAATTCCAAGCGCATACGTTATAGGATCTTAATCATGAAATTCGCCGTTTTACAAACTGATGAATCTTGGGTAGTTTTTACATACAAACGTCCTTATGAATTAAAAATAGATTCTTGATATGACCCCGGTTACTGGCTATGAATTGGACTTTGATCTTAAATAATTTTATGGTAGCTTTATATTATCTTTGAAATTTTATCAGATTATTATCTATCTCCCAACCTGTAGAGACATAGTAAGTTTTCTCTTAGTTTATACTTTATCCGATCTTACACGTTCAGAAAGTTGAAGTTTGCATTGTGCAAATACATGGATTGATTCAGTTATTAAAGACTTTATAATGAGACAGAATGGGAAAAGAACCCTGAAGATAGTAAGATCGAAACTCATTTCCGATCATTAAACTTTAAATGCAGTTTTCAATGTTTATTCTAATGCATATAACGACCACAAATTACAATAAACTCGTCAAAGTTACCAGGCTTAGACTCGTCAGGGACGCTCGAATAAAAAAAGTTAAAAGGCCAAAATAAGGCACGAAGCAGAACCCCCATGAAGACTTTAGATTTTTTATATGATCATAGCTGTTTCTATTCTGTTGATATTTTCGTCTAGTTCATTTATCCAATCATGTTCCCCAATTATCAGTTTCTGTTAATTTAGAAGAACCGAAAACATGTTTTAGGTACAGTGAAAATTCCGGTACCACTGTCTTTTTTGGTCACGATAAACTTGTTTATCTTTCGAATTTGCGAAGTTGCAGAAAATTGGTCCATCAATTTAAATGTCGTAGGATTTTATAAATTACCCATAATGCATCAGATTTTTGAATCGGCGAATTCCAAGGTTTCACAAGTCGTTCATTTTGGATCGAATATAATTTATATTTATTTTCTATTCCCTTTATTTGTGTCAAGGTCGATGTAGTGAAAATATCCTCGAATGCAATGCATGATGGGAACGATGCATTTTAAAACAACGCATCTATTAAAGGTTCACGGAAAAGGTTACAGAGTCAAATATATGGTTATACTATATATGAAGGACTGAGAAAAAAACTCATCTTTATACATGAAAAAATGGTATTAAAAATGTAAGTATAGGAAAAGAAAACTGACAAGGATAGATAAAAAAAAACAAGGATTGGTAAGATGGTATATTTTTAATCTAAAGTATTATTTTGTCTGATAATAGACCATTGACATTCAAAATTCATTCTCTGTCTTATCTACCATACCCAACTGTTGAATCTGGGTCGTAGGCACTATCACCGAAGTTCTTCAACTTCTTGATTACCGAGTTTACTAGTTTTGGTCCTTGCTTGGAAGTTTCATTCATACTCTCTAGTTTTAAATATTAATGCACTGAAACCAATTCAAAAAGAGAATATGTTTTCTTCAGTTTTGTACAATATCAAATATTACAAAACGAAGGCACTTAAACATCATTTGCACATCAATTTTCTTTCTTAATTTGAAATTGAGCCAGGGAAATGAATTTTGAAATGTCAGCGATTTATATCTATGGGTCATTGTGATCTAATGGAAAGTTCATGCATGTGATATATCGTTTAACAGAAGAAGTTTTCTTGTTCGCAATGACTTGCTTTTGAATATTTTATGTCATCATCTTAAACATTTATAACCACACCACTATCATTCCTTGTACATACAAAAAGACAACCTTTCAAATTCTGGTAATGGTATTAAATCCCTTATGCGCTATCCTTGCTAGAAACGTTTACATTGTAAACTCCATGCTTCTCATAATAAACATAGCACAGCGAATTTTTTCCCCATAAAATCGAGAAAAAGTACTCTTAAGTCATGAACATTTCATGCAGTAAAACTTACGATCGATCAATTTTTGTCGTAAGATTTTTTTGTTGAAAGATTCTCTGATTGCCAACATGCTTAACCTCACCACAGTTTTTTTTGTACCTGGCCCAAGTTACAGTAGCCTGAAATCAAATTGTTGTCTTTGGTTGCTCTCATAGATGTTTAGTTTATTGTTTACGTTTAAACATAAACAAAGTCGTAAGTGTTCTCATTTCAATTGTTTCATATTTGGCATACCGGGGCCTTTTGTAGCTTAATAGACGGTGTGGGTTTTGCTCCCCTTTGAATGCCGTACGTTATCCTGTAGGATTTTACACCTTAAATTCTTCTTTTGGTCTCTGGTCTCAATTTCCTTATTTTTATAATGAAATACATAAAATATATTTGTTTTCTTGCAAAATACAAATTGTTAAAAAATACCATTGAAAGGTTTTAGATTATTATAACTGAAGTGTGTGGTTTGTCACTTATTCGCAATGTAAGATTGAACCATAAGTGCTATAGCTAGGGCATGGATTCCCTCTTCTATTATTTGTATTACAAATAGTTTCAGTTAGATTTTTTTTTTTTTTTTTTTAGCGTATTTTTCTTAATTCAACGTGTTCTTGATCATTCCAACACAATCTCACATTGGAAACATTTTATGTGCTCCACTTCTCTGAATTTCACAAGTCTGGAAAGACCCAAAATTATAATATCGTACCATTTCTAGCCTCCTGTACGTTTTATGCACCACATTTCCACTAATAACAAATTACCGGATGTATCCCTAAGTTAAGAAGAAGGTTACCATTACGGAATGATAATTTTAACTCTCATCCCAACATTTTGAGGTGATGATGCACAAGATCTTTTCTTATAAATTAGAATGTTACAGTACCTCAACCGTTGACATAAAAATATAATAATTAAAGAACCTTTAGAATTTCCTAAGGTCGGTGGCATATTATGTTTCAACTGTTTGCATGCGATTAATGAAAAATGCCATATTTTGACTAATTTTCGAACAACGGAAAATTGCAGGTAACATTTTCTAACATTTATGTTTGAAAATTCAAAACGAATTTATTGTTTATTAAAATTGAGACGGTCGAGTAACTTATGCACATACTAACTCCGAAACAGTGGTAACTTCGTCTTAGCTACGCTACGTTGACTTGAAAGTTTAACAAAGCAAAGTCACCGCTGTTTCGGAGTTTGATGCACATATCACATGTATGAAAATTTCAGAAACGACTCGGGACGTTTCAAAGAGTTTTCCATCTCACATTTCATTAAAAAATTAAATCGAAAGTGAAATTATTTTGAAATTGAACAATATTTATTAAATCATATAAACATACAATATTATATCATTACTAATTTAAAAAAAATAAATAAAAAACTGTTTAGAAAACAAGATTAAAACTTTTAATACATTTTTTTAATACTAAATAGTAATAGAAATGTGAGAGTATAATTTTAAAGAAACGTACCTTAAAGTTAATTATTGTGTTCGATTCTCATGCACGTTTTTCATCATTTTGTAATGTACATTCTCAGGAACTGTGTTTTTCCAAATGTCCCACCTTTTCCTGGAATCGATGTGTTTCAAGGGAGACTACTCCACAGTAGAGACTATCGACAAGCTGAAGAGTTCAAAGGACAGACTGTTGCTGTTGTTGGTTCATCGTACTCTGGAAGAGATGTGGCAAGACAGCTGTCGGATGTAGCAGATAAGGTAAAGACATTGACAAACTTCTTGAGGGTCCGAATGGGGTTTACAGAATAATGAGTAAAAAATAAAGAATAGAAAAAATAGGCAAACAAATAAAGAATAACGAAAAACAGGCAGAAAACCCTAGAAAAAAAAGAAAAAAAAGACAAAAATAGACAACAAATTAAAGGATAGAGAATGGATAAAACAAATAAAAGATAGGCGAAAGATACCAAAGGGACATTCAAACTAATAAGTCGAAAATAAACTGACAACGCCATGGCTTAAAAAGAAAAAGACCAACAGACAAACAATAGTACACATAACACAACATAGAAAAATAAAGACTGAGCAACACGAACCCCACCAAAAACTGGGGTGATCTGGAGAAGTGGTCTAAAAATTCATGAATGAATGAATGAAGGGAATAAAATTGTATATTAAGGGAGGGGGGTAAAAAAAGGATAGAGGTAAAATTGAAAAATGACAGAGAAAGGTAAAGTTGTAGTAGAGAGAGATAGAAGAAGCTTGTAAAATTTTAGTATAGACAGGTGAAATTGTGGTAGAGAGAAGTAATGAGGTGAAAATAGGAGTACGGAAATATTGATTGATTGATTGATTGATTGATTGTTTGTGTTTAACGCCACATTCAGCACTATTGGCTATTTTGTGGCAGTCAGTTTTTAATGCCTGAGGAAGACGGATTTCCAAGAGAGAACCATCGACCATCGGAAGGAAAACAGACAATCCTATTCAATTAAGATTGGAGTCGAACTCACAATATCAGTGTTGAGTACGGAAGGAAGAAAAATACAACATATAAGGGAGATATATATCAAAAGAAGACAACAGAGCGTTTTAACCACACAGTGAACTACAAAAATCTAAAAAGACATCATTTATTTTTTAAACTTTGCATTACACGAGCAAACATTCTTGCATAAAATAATCGGCAACTGCGAACAGCATTTTCTAAATTAAATTAAAATACTATATTTTTTATAGGTTTATTTAACTCATATAGATGAACCAATTAAAACAGTTTATGAAAATGGAAATGTCATAGAGAAAAATTTAGGCATCCGTGAAATTAAAGAATCATCAATAGTTCTAGAAAATGGCAAAGAGGTACACCTTGATGCAATAGTAATGTGTACGGGATACAAGTACCAATTTCCGTTCTTGTCAGAAGATATAATAAGTATACAAAATGAGCACGTGACACCGCTGTATAAACACGTGCTCCATTTGAAGTACAACTCGCTGTTTGTGATAACATTGCTGAGAAACGTGGCAACTTATCCAATCTCGTTTAACCAGGCAAGATTTGCAAGATCTGTCATAGATGGCACTGCGAATCTCCCATCTAAAGCGGAAATGGCCGAAGACATTGCGCGCGAAGTAAAATGGAGAAGTGAAAACAATATGACAGGACCAATGTGGCATTATATGGATACACTTCAATGGAATTATGACAGCCATCTTGCTGACATGGGAAAGTTCGAACCATTGTCAGAAATGCTACAGATCTATTGGAATTTTGTAGAAAACCACAGAGAAAAAGACTTTTGCAATTATTGGAAGTATGACTACGTAATGAATGGAAAGAAAACAATTGAAGCAATTAAACGTGACGAGCATCAAGAAGAAGAACATTTACCATATAGAATGGTTGTATGATTTCGTTTGATAGTAGCTAGCATAGACAAATTCATGTTCATAGCAATTTTACGTTTAACATCATTAATATAACATTGACAACGATGTTTTTGAACTTCGCAATATTTGTTCATTCATCATTTATTAATTTGTTTGGTAAATATTGGACCAGTGTCTTTGTTTCAAATAAGTTACACAAGTCAGACTCTGGAAATGCTTGCATTATTACAAGTAAAAAGTTCTTAAACTTGAACTATTCTATCATAGATAGAAACATTGTCATTTTGGTTACCTTTTAAACTTGTGAACATGTAAATATCGTTTCTTTTTAAATGTTTTCGAATCTCAGTTTGTTTCCATTCACCATAGTTGTTAATCAAAGATGCTTCATTAAAACATTTTACGTCATTTGTAAAAAATCAAATGATTATAAATTACTGTAATAATTGTTCTAATTTACAAATATCATCAACGCAAACAAATTAGCATTCCATAGTTATTTGAAGTTACTAAAATGGGGGTTTGGAGGAGACTGTATTCAAGTTTAGAATGGAGTTATAACATTTGTTAAAAAAACAGTTGTTTCGACGATTATTAATCTAGAAAATGACCCCCAATTCTAGTTATGTGAAAAAAGTCCAGAGTTTTTGTTTTCAGCACAGAAAGGATTTGTTTAATTTGCATTCATTATTGAAGTGGGTTTTCAAATTGTGCATTTAGTGCATCCTGTAATTTCTTTGAAAATATACTTTTTATGTTGTTTATACTTGTTTATTGATATACTAGTAAATAAAAGAATATTCTGGTTTACTTGAGATCATCCCAACAAACGATTGTACCTGTCCCAAGTTAGGAACCTGTAATTGAGTGGTTGTCGTTC